TCTCTCTTTCTCTCTCAAAAATAAATATTAAAAAAATTTTTAAAAAAATCAGAAGGACGTAAGCCAGTCTGGATTATATTCGCCTATACACAAGTGCAGTCATAAAACATAACTTCTAGTATTTCTTTAAAAGGAATTATTGTATTTCTTTTTGGAGGAAGGGATCTATGACGGCAAAAGTGCCTCTGGCCCGAGAAAGGCATCATATGGCCCTGCTTCAGGCTGACCCTCTTAAGTGACATCTCAGGGCTGCCCACCTGGGCACAAGACAGCCAGGCCTGCCCCCGTGTGCGGGAGCAGGTCCCGGTTAGTGACTGGAGTGTGTCAGCTCCTGGCACTTGGCCCTCTGCTCCTGGGGTGCTGGCCACGGAAAGCTCATTGGAGGCGTTGGGGTGTAGAATCAGCAAACTGGGGCAGGAGAGCTGCTGAGCAGAGAACTGACTCCTTGTTGGCAACTGAAAGAAAGAGAAGCGTCAAGAAGTTAGGCAGGGATCAGGGAAGACGACAGGGAAAAGAGTCGGGGGGCTGTGGTCAGCAGGGAGCTCAGGCCATGAGGACCAGGACTTCAGAAAGGGGTCGCTTCGGTTTTTCTTCCTTGAAAAACGGTGAATTCAGGGCTGTGGGAGACGGGAAGACACGTGCCGTTTCTCCCCTGCCTTCCGCACGTCGTCCCAAATCACTAGCGTGGGCAAACGTGGCCAGGCCCCCCCAGGGGCAGGAGGAAGACGCCCGCCAAGCAGGACCGTCTCACATTTGGCCCAAAGGGGGCTGAGGTGGGAAGCACCGTCTCTCCTCAGTGTCTAGTCCCAGAACAGGCATCTGCACACGCGTGGAATTGGGCCGGGGGCTCAGACCCAGACAAGGCTCGTCACACGGGCCCGCTGCTCTCTCCCCGCTGCCGAGGGGAAGAGGCAGCAACCCCGTGGGTCCCCCCTGACGTTTACAGTGTCCTTGGCAGCCGCTTCTTAATAAAGCATGCCACCCTGAGATGGCATGGGGCTGAGCTCCTTGTGGCCTCTCTTCTTTGCACCGGGCGTTCTTTCCATCGCCTGATGTCCGACTCCGGCCGCAACGGTTTTGTTCTCCCCGGAGCCGCAGGCCTGGGAGATTTCGAGGCGGCCGATTTTGGCTACTGGGCCCTCACCGTTGTCTGTTCTGTGTTGCTCACCTCCTTCCAGAGCGTGGGAAGATGTTGTCAGCCTCCCTGACGTCTGCTAATTCCTGAGCTCCCAAGAGAACCCAGCTATTTTGCAGACGCCATGGGTTAGGACAAGAAGGTAAACCTTACAGAGAGGCGACGTGGGGGGGGGGGGG